ACAAAACTAATGGAAAATGCATTGCTTTGAATGAGTCAAAACTAATAGCCATGCGTATTTACGCAGTTCAGGGCAGGTCACACATTAAGTAAGTGTTTTTGTATAGCGCCTTTCACAGACCAGAATCACAAAGCACTTAACTTTTTTTTTTTAAATATACAGATGAAAATAATACACAAAGAACTCAGATTTAAAAGAAAGTTGCGTGTTTCCATTAAGCCGCGTTCAGACCGGGTCATGCGTCGCGTCGGGGTTCAATGCAAAGTCTATGGTGACGCGCGTTGTAGCGTCAAAACGCACCTCCCTCCCGGCACGCACTTGGGGACTGCTGAGTAGAGCCGCACGGACTTGGCGGGAAAGTGAAAGGGGAGGAGCAGGAGCGGAAAATTGACGCCCACAGGAGATAAACTTTGCTCAACTTTTCCTCGGCACGTTCGTGCAGCAACCGATCAGAGAGCCGCAAAGTGGTCACGGGGACATTGGTGGTCTGAGCGAGCAGACTGAACATACTGTAAACAGCCAAAACAGGAGCTATACTAGGACTAAACCAGGACTAAACCAGGGTTGACAATGGGGGACTGTGTGCTTGTGAATATATGCGTTGTCATGCTCCCGTGACCTTATGCAACTGCTTTGAGTGTGTTCGCCGATGCGGAAATACCGTTGAATAATATTAAAAAACGTATGGTGCACCTCCTTGAACACGAACTACTGATATATAAAGCCTGTGGAAAGTCTCTGTTCAAAGACACGCTGCAAAGCTGCATATTGGAGAAGATCTGTACACAAGAAGCCGCTAGCATACTGTAGCTCTGTTAGCATCAGAGCCGGCTGGCTACTTCCGGTACTTCCGGCTCGCGTCAGGACGTTCTGGTGTGAAGTCCTCTGCGTCTGAAAACTAGACAATGCGCGTCTGGTGAGTGGGGCTTCAGCGTTTGAGGTCTGATTGCATTGTTAGAGTTTTTCTGATGCTCAAATTCAAATTTCGAAATGTGATGCTCAATGAAAACGCAGCTTATACAGTAATTTTGCCAGACTGGGAATATGTTCATAGTTGTCCAAATCTTGCATTTCATGCATGTTTTGACGTGTTGTAATGAAGGTTGAAATGAGCGTACACATTTACACCACTACTGACTTGGCGTACTGTATATTCTGTGCGTACCGTACGCCCATGTCCAAATTGATAAATGCCAAATAGTGTAAATTTTTTGCGTACGCCTCATTTACTCTCTGATTTGTCCGTATACGCAAGTTTCATAAATGAGGCCCATTGAGAGAGTGATCCGCTCCACACGGACCGACAGGCTGTAGATCCAGGACCTAAGCTACAGAACGAGGACCAAGGCCACTCAGCGGCCGCAGAACGCGGACAGGTCCGGTACAGGACTGAAGCAACTCCCAGGTGGGTCGGGCAGGGCAGTCCACAGGGTTATTGACAAATGTTGATTATTATTCTCCAACTTTTTATCCTTATAAAAGGAACAAGTGTTTTACCTTCAGAAATGCTGGCTTCTACTTTGATAGTAGTTGTACTAACTACTAGTAGTTGTGGTTTGCAGAAATGTATTTCACCTTGTATGGGAATATATGGGAAGGGAGGCACATATAAGGTCTGTGAAATAAGTTAACTGTACCCAATTTACCTGTGTCTCCCTAGTCCCTGTCAATTTGGAATGTTTTAGCCCAGTCGCGGGGCTAAGATTTTTAAAAGAGAGGGTTTTCTCTCTCCTGGGTTAATTGGAGTCTGGTGGTAGAGTGAGCAGAGGACTGTTGCACAGTGAGCTGAAGTCTATTTGTGGAGTGCTCAGTAAGTCCTGTTATCCTCTTTTTTTTTTTTTTTGCTGCGGCCAAAATACTGCACTGTATACTTTTTACTGTTTTGATTCTGTGATTTTTTTTACAAGATAAAAAAACTCAAAAACGTTTCACAACATCTATGTAAATATTGACTCAGCATCACAAGATGATAATAAAAAATACTTTGACGTGGCAGATCTTCTTTGATGATGCAATTCATAAGAAATCCTGCCCTAGAGAAATTGCGTTGATATAGCGTATGGTGTTGTGTCAGTCGCCATGGAGATAAAACCAGTTCTGACCTAAAGCGGTGCCAGAAAACCTGAGCCTGCATCACGCACAGGACATCAGCAGGTGTGTGCGTCCTCCTGTTTAACTGGAACAGTTCTATTTTAGCTCGGACTTCGTTCTAACAGTTCTAGGGTACACTAATTATCTGTTAATTAGTGAGGGCTAATCTATATTGTTATGTTAATTTTTGTGTATGAAAATACAACATTTAAAGCTTAAAATACTTTCACTTTCAGTTGATGAAGATGAAGAGAGCCTGTACTCGTCCCACAGGAAATGTCAGCATCACATGACACAGAACCATGAAATTAGGAGCACACAACACAAGATTTCTGTTATGTTTTGGCCCCTGTACTGGCTCCAGAGAGAAGGGGGGGGGGGGGAGTCGGCCTTGATACAGGTTTTGGGCCTGAGAATTCAAAAATCATGTCGGGCTGGGTCGGGCTGGGGCGCCACCCCCTCGGGCCAGGGCCGGGCTCAGGTCCAGATAATAGGCCCGTGCAGGGCTCTGACGCGGCTACCCAGAAAAAAATCCCATAGAACTCAATGTAAACTAAAACAGCTGTACCTTCTTTAAATCCACACTTTACTGCCACAAACTCTGCTCGTTTCCTTCCCGCTATGGCTCCTCTCTACCGCTGCTCTGATCAGCAGCTCAGATTGGTCAAAGCGCAGCCGAGCCCCTCTGTGCACGTGCATGAGAGCCACACACACTTATTTGGCGCAGCGCATCATGGGAGCCCGTCCACTGAGCAGAACAGGGAGGACCAGACGATGCCCAAATATCATGGATCTATTTTAAATAACTGGATAGGGTATTACTAGCTTGGAGCTGAAGGGCCCACGTGCTCAGGGGATTCTCGTGGTACTGCAGACTAAATTCACGTGGGCTACCCAGACATTTTCCTCAGAGAACTCAATGTAAACTAAAACTGCTCGACCTCAGCTGACAGAGAACCTACAGCTTTCATAAAGGGTGGATTTTGTGGGGATTTTAGTGTCCCTTGCCATCCTAAACTTTTTTTCTTCTTAAATCCTTCGGTTTTCTTTAAATCCACACTTTAGTGCCACAAACTCTGCTCGTCTGGCTCTCGCTCTAACTCCTGCTCTAGCTCCGCTCTGATGAGCAGTTCTGATTGGTCAGAGCGCGGCCGAGCCCCGGTGTGAACGTGCATGAGAGCCTCACACGCGTATTTGCCGCAACTCATCATGGGAGATCATCCACTGCACAGAACCGGGAGGACCAGACGATGCCCAAATATAGCGAGTGATATGGGGAGTTCCGCTAATATGTCAGCGACCGTGCCTGCACATGCACCACTGAGCACAAACCATTCATTTGAATACGGTGCCATCTTGGATCACCGGGGCTTCGGAAGACACTTGTCAAAGAGTGCATGGAAAATATATGCGCAAAGAGTGGTGATGTTTTAAAACAGCTTCCATCAACTTTAACAATGAAGTGTAAACTACTATGAACCAGTTCTAAGCCAGAACTGAGCCAGGACAGGATTGAGTTTGAGACAAAGATGTGTAAACATAATTAAGTTAAGTGCACTTGATGTGCCAAACCAAAAGTAAGTTAAAATGAATGCAAAAGTAGTGTAATGCGTTACAATTCAGAGATAGTAATATTGTAGTTTAATACATTACTTTGAAATAACAGTAACAAGTAATGCATAATGTACAACGTTTTTGAAGTAACTTGCCCAACACTGTATTATATATAATAAACTAGTGTCCTCCATCCATCCATTTTCTACCCTTTAATCCATTTCTGGGTCAGGGGGGTGACAGTCAGAGATGCCACCCAAGTCTCATAGCACCAGCCCCTCACTGACCCTCTGCAGGTGGTGAGTCCACAGGAGGACAGCTGCTCTCTGAGTGTGAGCATAGCCTTGATCTTTCAGTGGGGGCTTTTGGCAAAGTGGGGTTAAGTGTCTTGCCCAAGGACACAACGACAGCAGTCATCAGTGGGAGTCGGTGGAGAAGGTGCAGAGGTGGGAATTGAACCCACGACCTTCTGGGCTTAAGGCCAATGCTCTACCAACTGAGCTACTGTCGCCCCTAAACTAGTGTCCTGTAGGTACTAAAATATGGAGTCAAAATAGTAGGTCTATAAACTCTGCCCAACTCTACCACAATACATATACACACATTAGCCGCATTGCAATAAAAGCCACAAGGTTCAATGAGCTTGGCGTATAGTCCGGTAATTACTTTATAAGTATTACTTTCACAGAGGCACATTACTCTGCTACTGTGATGTCAGTGATACAGTCCGGAAGGTCACACACTGTTTCTCTGTGAAAAGACGAGAGCCTGATGTACTCGCCTGCTGACCACCTTTTTCTCTGATCTTTTCTTTTCTGATTGTGGAAGGCCGGCTGCGTTTTCACATGATTATCTTTTTATTTAATTTAGCTAAACGCTACTTCATATTATTACTAATAAACTGTTGGGTTCCATTAAGAGAACAGAATAAATGTAGAAATGTAGAAAATGCCATGGTAGCACAAATTAAGTTGTATGCCTTTAATGGGCATTAACACCTGATCTAGGCCGGGTCTGTACTACTACTAATGTTCTACAGTATAAGTCTATGTACCATAGTCTATCTACTACTGCATAGTCTATGTACTACTGTATGTACTGCTGTATAAGTCTATATACTTTATAAGTCTATGTTTGAATGTATACGTCTATGTACTGCTATATACCTATAAGTCTGTGTTCGCTCCACTCTCAGGAAGCTATAACGAGACAACTGTAGTCGTTTGTTAAGATTTGTCGCCTCCAAGCGGACAAACGGGAATTTCTTTTTTTTTATATGACGTCATGCCAAATCGATGAAAAAAAGGTCCCCGTGTTTCAAATAGATTTATTCAAACCACCATTTGTCCCTCTGTATGACCAGTGCAAGAGAAGACGGGTTAGTGTAATACGCCGTTATTTTAGACATTAATATAGATATAGTGACTGTAACATTCATCAGTAGATCTATAGTGCAGGCATGGCAAGTTTATTTGTGTAGAACAGTTCACCGCTTGGTCCTCGTTTTACAGCCTCAGTCCCGGGAGTGATCCGTCAATACAGGCCTCACTTTCATCCTACTGTTTTTTTTAGTTGTTCCTTGGTGGTGATGAACAACTATTGATCATCTGTTGGCTTCAATCTAACAAACTCCATTTCCCATGAGCTTCTCCTTTAGGTCGCTCTCGTGACGTACAATGCCTGCGACGCTGAAGCGCACGTCTGACCCATGGATGTATGGTCTGACCTGAGTTTGACCGAAAACTCGATTCTAAAGACACAAACATGTAGATGACAATGAGCAGCAGTGTCAGTCGGGCCCGTCTGCTGTTAGCCGTGTCCTAACACATTTTGTCGTTCATTATTAAACATAAGGAGGGTTTCTAGGAGGTAGTTTCTCTGCTTTGACAGCTGCGCTAATGTGAGATGACACTTCCAGTCCTTCAGAACACCGGGGGTCCTCTACAGACGGGTCCTGGCCCAGTTTCCCTCAGGACATCAGTCTGGCCTTCGCCTATGGATCCGGAGTGTTTCAGACAGCACGGGACCAGCAGGGGCAAATGGACGTGAGTGTGGTCCTGCTCTGGTTTCTGTCTCACTCTCAGCCACAGTCTCTGGTTTGTTAATGGAGTGATAGATAAGACACCAAAACCAGAATCCTGATTTATGTGAATATAACTGATAAGAATTGTGTTACAATCCTGTCTATACTAACAGATTACATGGAATTATAATTGTGCTTGTTGATATTAGCTACTTGTTTAGGTAATGTATAATCATAGCTTGTGTCTTGTATCAATACAGTGATTGATAATGAAAGTATAGTTATATATTTTTTAATATATATCAAATAAATAAAATGAGTTTCAGCTGTTTTGAACTTACTTATTCATTCTAGGGTTCATTTTTATATGGTCATAAAAAATGCTGTTGTTGTTTTCTTGATAAAATTAGCTTTAGATTATAACATATAATATTAACCCCCATCTCTTTCTGGTCTCTGTCTCTCTGTCTCTCTCTGGCTGGTCCCTGTCTGGTCTTCCACTCTGGTCTTTTGGACTGGTCTCCCTTGGTCTACCGCTCCCCTCTCTATCTGATTTGGTCTCTCTTGCTGTTGTTCTCTTGGTCTCTCTTGATAATTATGTGTAACAGAGGTTGGGAACTTTTTTAGCCAAGAGAGCCAAAGAAGTATCATACTTCAAAATGTATTTCTGTCGGGTGCCATTTTTTTTTTTTTTTTTTTTTACGTGAATATGTATTATTTTTGTAAACAAAAGCAACACATTTAGAGTGCAAAATAGTCTCTGATGTATTATTTGTTGTAATACATGTTTATAATAGAAAAAAATCCAATATATAAATATTCTTAGTATTAATGCTGACTAAGATTTGTCTTTGAGAGCCAGATACAGTAATTAAAAGAGCCAAATCTGGCTCCCGACCCATAGGTTCTTGACCCCTGATGGATGACATGTCACACAGACAATACACTCTGATGTCCACTAGGGGGCCTCAGAACACCTAAACGCTGCATGTGTGGTACTCTGCTCTGCATCAGTGTTTTTCAACCACTGTGCCGTATTAATTTGTCCGGTGTGCCATGAGAAATTCCCTTACTATGTCTAAAAATAACTGCATCCACCATTGGCGACTGCTGACTTGTTTTTGAACTGTGGCGTAACCACGTAATACTTTTTCATATCAGTAGGTGGCAGCCGAGAAGCTAATTACTTTGATACATAAGAATTGGATGCGACCACTGACAAGTAGCTGGGAGCATTGTAGGTGAGAAATGTAAGATTTGGACGTGACCAACACATGAAGAGGGCAGCGAGGAGCACTGTTGCGAGTGAGGAGTGGGAAGTGACTGCGACGTGTTTGAAAAGGAATAATGCCATTTTGAACAGGATTCACATCCTCCCCTCTGTCCCCGGGGCAGGTGTGGCCGCTTTGTACTAGACAGCCGCTTTGACAACAGCTCAGCGAACACACATTTGTAAAGTATTTTTCACGGCACACCGGACAATATCAACGGCATAATCGTGTGCGCGTGGCACAGTGGTTGAAAAAAACTGGACTACAGGATATGACAGATATTTCAATGAAATAAGGTGCCTTGGATCAAAATAGGTTGAAACACACTGCTCTACATTATGTGCTAGTTTGAAATGAATAAACCTCACGCAATTATTCTTTTTCTCATCAGAAAACCATGTTGGGACTTTGTGTTTGCTGTGGACGACCCGTGGTGACGTGGCACACTTGCACCTGCTCCAAAACGGAAACACTACTCCATCCTGAAGTTGCTGGGACCACACACGATTAGCACCATCCAAGAAGAGCACGGAGCCTCTGATACTACAACACACTGGTCCTGTGGATGGCAATGTGAGCGACCGACTCGTTCTCTGGTTTAAGAACCACCTCCTCACTGACCTGTAGTGGTGGGATAACAAATTATTCTGTTCAGTATTTGCAGTATTATGCGCACACAATTTAAACGACACAGTACAGCACAGTAAGTATTATAGTGATCTTTTCAGAAACATTTCTTATTCTGTAATAAGGCCTGAATGTTCAAGGATGAAGATTTTGCACTTCATTAAATGTGCAGACCAAAATAAATGTAAGATTAGAAATCCTTTATTCATCCCACAGTGGGATTGTGTCAGTGTTAGCATCACAAGTTACAGAACAGTAGGAATGAGGAGCACAAAGCACAATCTCAAACTCTAGCAACGAAGAACAAGTATAAAATCTCTCCACGTGAAGAGAAGATGAGCAGTCTTAAATTACCTGTTTGAATTATAGTGGCCCCAATATCGCAATACTATTGAATAGTCACACATTGTCACTGATAAAGTATAGATTCATCAGCACTGACTCTCTGGCCTCTCTCACTCTGTCTCTCTCTGGTCTCTCTTGCCTCTGTCTCTTTGTTCTCTCTATGATTCTTCATAGGTGATAAAGTACGGGGTCATCAAGCCTGACTCACTGATCCAGGACCTACTGCACTGGAACACACCCTGTATGTCGCTGGGAGGCTCCACAAACCGGATGGTCACTACACTCTTGCATCATTTATTCTCTAGGATCGCATCCCTTGAGCAAAAACAAAGGTATATCACCTCTTCCTGACACACTCAGTGACACTGGCTGGAGTATCCAATGAAGCAAGGTCAAATACTCAGACCAAATATATCTGTAATTTAGACTGCCAATAAAACAGTTATAGCTCTCTCTGGTTCTCTCTGGAGTCGCTCTGGTCTCTCTCTAGTCTCTGGTCTCTCTCTCTGGTGTCACTCTCTTTGGTATGTCTCTCTCTGGTCTCTCTCTGGCCTCACTCTGGCCTTACTCTATGGTCTCTGAGTCTGATCTTTCTCTAGGTCTTTCTCTAGCTCTCTCGGTTTCTCTCTAATCTCTCTCTGGTCTTGGGTCTCTGCACTGGACTTTTACATGTTCTCTGTGGTGACAAGCCAACAGGTGTCCAAACAAACACGCCAATCTTTCCCACTATTGCCCCAGGTTGACACATCGGTGGGAAATCGCCTATTCTCTCTATAGCCTTCTGCTGCTGTGTTTATGCCCTTGTGTATTTGTGTGTGTGTGTGTGCGTGCTTGTGTGCTTGTGTGTCTGTAGGTGAAGATGCTGGTGCAAGGAGACAATGGGAAACTCAGAGCTGCTTTAGTTGCGAATTTAAAAAGTGCAGTGACCGCGTCTCTTCTCATGCTGCCGGAGAGCTTCAGCGAGGAGGAGCTGTGTCTGCAGATCGCTGGACTCTTTCCTACTCTGGTGAGAAGCAAAACTTCAGAGTACAGATGTCTCTCATCGTTCACCTTCCACATCTCGATGTTTCACTGATTTTTGTTGTGAATTGTGCTTTTGTTCTCATGCGCTATTTGCGTGTGTTGTCTCCAACAATATCATAGACCCATAAGAGTGTAACGCTCGTGTAACATAAAACTTTATTTTAAGAGCGACTAAACACCTGTGCCAGCCTTACTAGCCCTCATGAAATTTGGCCTGGCGGACCAAGGGACAAGAAGGGGGGCTTAGAGTTGGGCAGTGGTCTGGGCTGTGCTTGACAGCTCACTTGTCACACCAAAAAACAAACCGACCGTTGTCATTGCGCTTAAAGCAAGTTTACCAGTCTCTCATTATTTCATGACCCTTGTTTACACACTAAAATATTTGTGGAGTACACACCTTTGAACAAATCCACAGCAGGCAGGTGGGAGTCAACTTCATGTAATTTAATTTTAATCCACTAGATGTTGGCAGAACACTCCAACCTGTACTGGGGGTGCTGTGAGAGTTTGCATGGGTCTTATATCATGGCGCAGACAGAGTCACACATACAAACTGCCGTCCACAGTATTACAAGTCAATGGATGAGGCCAGGACCAAATTCAAAGGTAAGTACCACCGAACAGGAACCGAGGCGCCACACAGACTGTGTAGTATTGGCTTAAAATAATTAGATTTGATTACTTGCACTAAACTGTCAAAAAAAATGACAGGGATCTGTAGAGAGCACTACAATACACATATCTATGCCGTTTATGATATTAAAAGGTTGATTTGGTGTTTAGTTACGCTTTAAAAGTCAGAAGAAGGTTATTTGCTTTTAACTAGCTTTTAGACTAGTGAACAGATGTCCAGTGGTAATCCTCTGGTCTCTCTCTTAGGTCTCTGTCTGGTCTTCAAGGTTCTCTCTGCTCTCTCTCTTAAACTATTGTTTTTGTCCTTGCAGGCGATTTCGGATGGTGATTGGAGAGGATAAATTGAAGGTTCCAATATTGTGCACGGGACAACTTACTATACTTCAAAATATTGTACAACAACATTTAAAGGACTGTCTCACGTTGAGTACAAGCCTCAACAAGTGAAGCACGAGGTATGTTAATTAGTTAAGATCACATACACCCAACCATCATCCATCCATTATCTACCCTTAATCCAAATTCTGGGTCGGCGTGGTTGGCCGTCAGAGATGCCAACCAATTCTGCGGGGAGAACACATACGTAGCGCTCTCTGACCTCACAACCTACGCACTGCAGTCTTTTTTTACCCAAAGCCAACAGGCGTTCGCCTCTTTCCCCATAATGACACATTCCTCCTCTCACCTTGAACGACTGGATAGAGAGCACATAATGACAGAAGTTTCCTCATGCAATAAAAGCGATTTTTTTTTTTCCACCCCTCCCCCACACAAGCCAGAAACCACTGTTCCTCATTCAAACTAAGCCTGTGACCTAGACTGTATATATGATGGACAATCAACCAGCTTGCTCAAGTGAAGCCCCAATAGGGAATTGCTCATGACAAAGTTAACTCCAACTCACTGCCTCCCTTGACTTACATGAAACGTAAACACCGCTGAAATACTGTTTGTGTCACACTCACCATATTAGGCTAATGCTGATGTGGTTTAGTGCTCGCTATGATCCTGTGTTTTTAAACGTTGACATTGTCTTTGTAAATCCAGATATGAGCTATACAAATTGGTCCACAACCCATCTGCCTCTGTTACAGCGCTAAGCCTAACCTTTGCGAAGAAATTCCCATATAAGGAAATTGGCTCCACTAGCCTTATGTACAAACACTTCTTCTTATAAGTGCTAATGCTCTTTTGACGTCAGCACTTACACAGTCCACTTCCGGATACGTCAATGTTTGGCATAAGCATCATTATCACAAATGTATTAACAGATTGGCCATTATATCTTTGTCATTGTGGGATTTTATTGGAAATACACATACAATGAAGAGGGCAAATAAAGGTACTGCCAGGTGGCAGATCATGTCGTGCATGCATACATTAGATCAGAACAATGCCAACAAAATGCTGTTAATCATCTAACAGCAGTATCGATAGCGCAAGTATGGATGAACATTTACAACACAAGATGAAAGAGATAAGCATAAAATCATGTGAGACTGAACAAACGCTGCTAGTCTAGTTTTATAGGTATATAATATAGTATATATATATTAATTATATTACATTACATTAAAGTGCATCTAATGGCTTCAACAGGAAGATTGTTCAGGAGTGTGAATGCTCGTGAATAAAAATAACAAAAATTCAAACAGACATGAGAACTGTATATCTCATACATATTGCTGAATCCAAATACTTAAATAGCCTTCTCTAATGATTTCCAAAGCATGATTATTGGCAGAGACTCCTGGTTAAAGTAGACAGTGAGATGACAGGGGAAAGGCGCAGGTTTCACATAGCCTCACGCATAAATCAGACGCACAATCATCCATCATGTATCATCCCCCATGGAGGAAAGGTGACATTCCACCTCTCTCCCAATGATGCCCTTGGTCCAGCCCAGGCTTATCATGGCCTCCTGCGGACACTGGCCCTTCATCTCCACAATTCAACTTGGACAACATTTCAATATTGTCGCACAGTTAATGGTAACAAGTATAAAAATTTAATTATTGAAATTAGCTGGGCGATATATACGGTTTTAAAAAAAACCTATAAGCGGTAATGCGATATAAATTTGGCCCACGGTAGAGATTTTGTATACCGCTTATTGCGATAGGTCATTATGTCAGTCAATTGCGCAGCTCTCCGACGCAACGAGAGCATCAAAACAAACCGCATCATCAGCATTAGCCTAGCACATTAGCCTAGCATTAGCCTAAGCAGACAACCACTGGAAACAGCGAAACAAAACACGCAATTCACACCGTGTTCTGTCTCTGATTGTTGTCACGCAGCGGCCCCCAGCGGAGGTAAATACACCCACAGTAATCACATTTAAGAGTCTACCTTTAGCCAATCGTGTAGGCTCGAAGCGCCAGCGGTGCCGTGTCCGCAGCAATCATCCCATCAGAAGTTTGGGAAAGTTTAGCGTCAGATTCGACCTCCGCAGTCAATTATCTCACGAAAGTTAAACAAAGTGAATGGTGCCAAAATGACCATTACAACAATTGTTTCAAATCCAATGGGCTCTTTTTTATGCATGATAAAATCATTGAATCATCCAGATCACTGCAAGAGCAGAGAAACAGGAGCAGCATCTGCAGTCAGAGCTCCCTCCCTCACCTCTGGTCATGAGGGAACAGCGCCTGCAGTCAGAGCTCTACGTCCCCTCCCTAACCTTTGGTAAGGACTAAAGGTCTCTCTCTCTGTCCCGAGCCTCTGAGGAGCAATGTGTCCTGGATTCTGCTGTCGCTGTCCTGCCAGAGCGGTGATGTCATCCCTGTTGCCACGGGACACGGCAGGGCAAGCGAGAGCATGTCAGCGCGTGAGGAGAGAGTTAGTGCCACGCTAAATATACATGTAGGAACTGTGGTGTCATGGAGAAACATTTATCACTTTCCAGGAGGCGTTCACTGTGGCCCATCGCCCTTTCAGAGTCCGGACTGTAATTAGCTTAAGCTGTGGTCGAACTGTTAAAGTTAATGAAGCTGTAAGGTTTTTAGAACTTACAGATGTAAAATAAAAAGTACTCTAACTTCACGAATGAATAAGGACAAAATAAAATTCTCACAATAAATTGCCAACACAGATCAGAGAATAAAACAGCTCATATGATTGTAGTATTTACTGATAGAGGCCTGGATCTAGAGCCTCAGTCCTGGATCTAGAGCCTCAGTCCTGCATCTACAGCCTCAGTCCTGCATCTACAGCCTCAGTCCTGGATCTACAGCCTCAGTCCTGGATCTACAGCCTCAGTCCTGGATCTACAGGTTTTAGGCTTTCAGGTGATGAGTCGGGACATTTCTGCACATTTATTAACATATCTGGACAGTGATCATCTCATAATAACAAACACATCATCTCGCGCCCTATTGGTTCAAAGGGCGCGAGATGATGTGTTTGTTATTATTGCATTTCCTGTGATTGTTGGCACAACTTTGTAAAGTCCTCCGAGACGACTGCTGTTGTGATTTAGGGCGATACACAAATAAATTGAACTGAAAAGCACACTCAAATGTACTTTGCGGTCGAACTCACACACACACTGAACCACTGCGAGCCGTTTTCTGTTTGTCAGCAGAAAAACTCAAAGGTCCTATATCACGCTTTTCTTCATGTTTCACACTCAATCCTATGCACATGTGTGATATTAATGTGTATGATACACCACACAACAATCAAAGCTTGTGAGATTAGAGCCATCTCTTGTATAGAGGTGACGTCACCTCGACTCAAACGAGCTGATCCAGAGAAGAGTCTGCTCCTCTGCCTGTGAGCCCGCCTCCCCCCGCCCGCACGGTGACGTAGCATCACGCTTTTGTCGTTTATCACCTGTACTTAGTAATTTCAATTTCATACATAAGAATAAACTTTTTCCAACAATGACAATCCGTCACATCGAGCCCTATGTCCTCGATGCACAATCAGACCCTAGTTATTTAGTTTACAGAAGTATACAGCGAGTTAGCGTCACTACTTACAGATCGAGGGGGTCCGTGTTACGTCTTTTATCGTGGGAATAACTTGTTTCCAGATCAGCTTTTGAGTAAGTCCAGTTCCATTGTCCCTGTAGTTCTGGAACAGTCTCAGTGAAGTGTCGCAGATGAACCGGTTTATAATAGATCCATGAGATGAACAGATGAAAAAAGTCGAGCCGCTTTCTTCCTCTTAGGGCCAAATAGTGTGTCACATATTTACACCCATAACACACTTCATTCAAGTTGACGTGATCCTAACACTTTTAGTTTCTGACAAAAGCATAAAAACAGCAGCTCTATGTGGTGTCCGCGAGACCAGACCACAGACGCTGGACTCGGGAGCCGGAGCCTGTGCGCTCTGATTCGCTGTTTTGATCCGTCAATCACCTTCCGCCGGCTTTTAATTTATTTTTATTTTTATTATTTTTGACAAAAAACAGCATACTAATTGTGTATTGTTTACCCCGTTTTGACAAAAGTATTTAACAACTATTTTAAATACAAAGCAAACGGGGTCATGCGCGTCATGCGCGTCATCAGTGTGGTTTTCGTCACTGAAGTGGACCCGAGCGTTTCTGTGCCTCACGCTGGGGAAGGAGACAGATGGCTCTCTTACAAAAGATTGACAGAATCAATGAATAAACTACTGTGGGCATGTGTATGAAGGCCAAATAGCATTGTAATCATGTTTAAAGCAGAGAAAAGTCAAAAACCGTGATATGGGCCCTTTAAACCTGTTTCTTCTTCATGTTTTCATTCATGAGGTGGATTCAGTGGAAAGTCCCCACGCTGCAGCTGAGGCCAGTCTTCCTCCTACGTCCTGTCTCTGTGGACCTTCTGTGAGGAGCGAGGCCAGAGGAAACCAACACTCAAACTAGTGATAGAAGTAAACTGTTTTAGAGCCAGGAACTTGAGAAATGGCATTTATATCGGGTTTGAAAGTTATGTACCCCAGCTTTTAGCCCTTTGCAAACTACATCATATCCTGTATTTGTATCGGGAGTTCTCACGGTCTCTCTCTCGTTCTGGTCTCTCATAGTCTCTCTCTCTCGTTCTGGTCTCTCATAGTCTCTCTCTCTCTCATAGTCTCTCTCTCTCTCACTCTCTGGTCTCTCGCTCTCTCTCTCTGCAGCGCACTGGCAGTGTTGTGCCAGTTCACAGCTTTTCTGAACTAGTTCAAGTTCAGTTCATACATGCTCAAAGTGAACAGTTCATGTTCAAAGTTCACAATCTTAATTCTGAACTAGTTCAAAGTTCAGTTCATTTTAATTTTTTCGTGAGATATCCAAATAAATACTTTTTTTCATACTACGAGCTAGAAATCACTATACGTGATTATAATTATATATATACATATCCTCTACACCGCACAGGATGAGAGGCTTTTGACTCCAAAACAGACCAGATTTACATGGTTTTCAATGGAGCAAAACTGAGTTGTCCCATCTCTGCTTATAAGTACTACAAGCAGTAATGCGCTGCAGGACGTGTGTCTATACTTGATGTCAAATGTACACGGCCCCGTGTCGCAAACTTACCCCTTTGTTTTCATCACGGCACATGTGAGTCCAACAACCCATGAAAAGCACTAGCTTACAGAATCGCACCGCAACCATAGACTGTAAAGATTAACGGACGTAGTCACGCCTATCTCCGCCGTTCAAACTAATGGGCAAAAAATGTGCTCTACAGTAGCTATCCAAAATGGCCGCGAATGGTCCCGCCCACAAGAAAATTGTGAAAAAACACATATGCGCATGCGTCAGCCGGCGCAGCTCCATTCATTTAAACGAGTGCCTTCAAAAATTCACAGCAAGTAAACTCGAGTGGACCAAAAAAATCCACCACCCTCAGCATTGACACACATGTGGAACGGAGCTTTGGGCCAAGAGCCAACTTTTGGACCATCCTGTAAACACGTTTTCGAGCGGTCTATTTCTTATTCCGGGTCCACCCCCATCGGCCCGGGGTGGTATTGCAAGCATGTCAGCGCACATCATTTTGGCCACTTTTGAGCCGGGACCCGCCCTCATTGAAACTGGGAATTTTTAGTTTTCGGCGGAAAAAGTGCGGAGAATACAGGAGGGAGGCACTTTCTCTCGCTGCTTTTCAAAAGAGAAAAAATATGTCACTCAGTTTTCAATGGAAAAAAAAAAGTTGGCCGTTCATGACACATAATATGAACTAATTCACGTTCAAGTTCTTTATTAAAAATATGTTGCGTTCAGTTCAACGTTCACAAAAAAATGGCCGTGTTCAATGAACGCGTTCTTTTGAACTCCTTCACGCACAACACTGCTGATTGGTCAGAACGCTCATGTGTCCTTCAATAAACACACACCAGACTCATTCTAATGTGGGTGAAGTGCCTTGCCTAAGGACACAACCACAGTTTGGAACTTTACAGCTGCAGCCGCCCCACTGCACCTGGTGTTCCCAGAGGTTTCCCATCACAGTACTAACCAGGATGCTGACTGGCCTGTTTTGAGTGTGTATAATCAGGATCACATGAATACATGAATTCCAGATGTTCTGATCTTTACAACAGGGTATATATAACATGCCCATGTTGGTGAAGCTGAAGTTGGCTGGATGACACTATAAACTTGTGTTTACGATCTCAATGGTACTTTGTGTTAAGGGGAAAAGATAGGTACCTCAATTCAACTCAATGAGCAGAGAAAGAGAGAGAGAGAGGGAGAACAGAGAGAAAGAGAGACCAAAGAAAGAGACTAAAGAGAGAGAGACCAGAGAGAGAGAGAACAACAGAGAATCAAACAGTCAAACAGTTGCATTGGTCCATACAGACATAGACCACAGTCCAGAAATGTCCATAAATGTGCAGCAATGTCAATGCCCAGACCCTCCAGCATCAGAGTGGAACAACTCACAAACCTCAGCTTTAACAGACAGCTACACCCACTGTTTCTGCTCCTTTGCTTCACGTTTATACAAGGTCACATTTATCCAAAGCATTTCTGTCTAATACAATAAAGATAGATACTTTATTGATTGATGTCTCCAAATAAGAAACTAACAATGGTGCACATGTTCAAGTCAGACAGATCTGTTGTAAAGTCTTACAGCTGAAGGAACAAAGGGTCTCTTCAAATGCTCCGTTCTCCAGCGTAGTGAAATATTCAGGAAAAGACACGAAAATAAAAAAGAAAAGACAAGAAAGGACCTTGTTTTGCTCGTGGGGGTCGGATGGACGTGCGGTCGTGCCCAGCTGAGTGCCCGCTCCCTCTGCTCTCCAGGGATCATTACGGACGCAGGATCAAAGCAAACTTCAAACACGAATCAGAGCAGATTCTAATGGACCTGAGTCTCCGCTCTGTGCTTGGCTTCTGCTTATTGCTCTTTTGTTCCCCACACACTTCAACATTAGCAGAGATCCAGAATAAATCCAAATATGTACAGTACCCAGGTCACAGACTGTATACAGATGGACAGTGCGGGCACAGACTCAGACTGACAATGAAGCCCAATAGGACAGTGCTCTTGGTGAACTTTGGTTCTAACTCTCTCTGGCTCCTTTTGATTTACTGTACATGTAAAAATAAACTCCTCTAAATCAATATCGGTTTGTGCCACACTCACCATTTAGTTTTTTCATCTGTGGTTTAGCGCTCTCTGTGATCCTGGTGTTTGTGTTGTGATATTATCTTGTAAATCTAAATATAAAATGTCTCATGTTTCTCTGTGATTCACTTAAATTTGTAATATTGTTTTTTATTTTTTATCAGATTTATGCAGCTAGGGTCTGGAACAGTCTTCCTGAGGATGTGAGACTGGCTGCCTCTCTGGCGATGTTCAAATCCAGGTTAAAAACTTTTCTTTTTGCCCGTGCATACAACCGATGAATTTTATCTTTTTAACGCACCGTGTTATTTATTACTGTAATCCTTTGTGTGATTTTAATGGTTTTAATTACTTGTGGGATTCCAATGTTCTTATGTTTTTAATTACCTGTGTGATTTGAATTGTATTTTTAATGGTGATTTTGCCTTCGTAAATGAGATGATTTGTGCCTTGTGTGGTGTGGACTGTGAGGCGCTTTGTGCTACCCTGTGTAGGGAAACGCGCTCTATAAATAAAGATTGATGGATTGATTAATATTGGTTATTTGTCAGATTTAATGATGAATATGGAAGAACACACTGTGACTAATGTTATTGTCAGATCACCATTAACAAAAACATTTGTTGCTCTGCTCTGCTCTAGGTTCTATTCGGGCTGAGCTGGTCCTAAAGGGTTCTAACTGACAGATTGGCCAGTGTGCTGCTGGAAGCTATGGTTATGAAGGAATTTCCACAGCTACTGGGCTGGTGGAAGCAGGTCTTTAGCAATGGCATGGATGGAGCTAAAAAGGTGGGGTATGTAACTTTAAAACCACAAAGAGATAACATGCACATTATCCGGTAACTTGCTCCAAAACAGTTTGGTTAAATCTGTGGTTTTCACACGGACTTTTTGGTTGCTGATCACATTTTTAGACAGAAAAGTAAAAAAGAAAGGACCACCCCCACCAGCTCTCAGTCCAAAGAATCAAACAGTGACTCAAAGAGCTCTGTGTTTGCATAATATACCATGATTTCTATCAGGAAGAAGACAGCTTTAAAAGTGGAATTAACATAAATGTGATTCTAGTAAAGCAAAAAGTGTTGGGTGTTTCAAAACTTAAAATCACAGTGAATAAAAAGAGTCTGGGGCGTTCATGTGTTCATGCTGCAGACCAGACCCAGAACAACAGCTGAGCTCAGCAGAATCACACTCACACTGCTCCCCCTCCTCCCCCCTCCACAACAGTTCCAAAACTCCAACTGGCTTCATGCACAGTACATGTAGTGCTGCTGCAGTGAACGTCTGTGCGAGTCCGTGCAACAGCCCTCTCCCCCTTCTCCCCCTTCTCCCCCGTGTGGAACAGCAGCTCAGTGAAACTCTGCTGTAGTGGATTCTCTCATGTTGAACTGATTATAAGTTGAAACACAGCAAAAGACACAGAGGCAGAGAGACGGAGCACAGGGTACAGAGATATATAAACAGAGACATAGCACAGGGATATAGAGACAGACACAGACACACAGTGTAGAGAGGATTAAAGGCGCCGCCGCTACATTGTTTCACTCCCGCAGAAGTTCCAGACGCACACACAGCGCAGCGCTCTCACCTTCGAAACACAGGATCCCGAGGTTGTTGTTCATCTTGTCCAGATACTGATAGTTTAACAGGTCCATCTTTGTGAGTAACATCTATTTTGACTAAAAGACCAGCTTTTCTCTTTTTCTCTCTTCGCGACAGTCTCAAAGCTGAAGGCCCAGCCCCCAACTTTGGTTCACTGCAAAATCCCGAAGACAGAAGAAAGTGTAGAAGTGAATGGTCCTCCAGGCCAGCTGTACGTGGACTTGAGCGTGTAGAAGTCAGCGGTTCTCCAGGGGTCCTCCAGGCCAGCTGTACGTGGACTGCACTGACACTATGCGCGGTATGACTCCTATGCGCCTCCAGATGTGCGCTCCGGCCAGGTTGATACTGCGCATGCGCGCACCACATCCCAGGAGCGCCTCGAATATCAAGGATGTTTTACGCACAGCTCAAAACCAGTACCAAACCACGCCCCAGGGACGGCATTGGAAGTGTGGAAGAAAGAGGGAGAGACAGGGGGAGAGGAGCGAGAGGAGAGGGAGACAGCATGGGGAATAGAGGGAAAAGAAGGGGGAGATAAGTACCAGATCAGCCCCAAAAAAATAGTCCCCAAACACGACACCAGGAGCAGGGAGAGAGGGGAGAGAGGGGAGAGAGGAGGGGGAACGAGCGGCCTAGATCTAACAGATTTCTGCCAACACATTGTGGACATGGAACTGACTTGAGGATCAGGAACACTTCGAAAGTTTATTTGGTTTCTAAAGATTATTAGAGAATATTAATATTATTATCCTATCTTACTGGGTTTCTGAGTGGTTCACATAAGCAGGAAGGTCTGAATGATCTTTTTAAAATATCTTGACAGTGGTCATCCCGCTTCCACAACTTTGTGAACTCCTCAGAGACGACTGCTGTGGTGATTTAGGGCTATACACAAATACATTTAATTGAAATATAGTTACTCTCATCTATGTATTGAACAAAAATCCACAAACTTTAAAAGTATAAAGTGGCAACGTGTGTCTTTCTGTTGCATGTTATTAGACCGTTTGTCTCATCAGCCTGTGTAAGAGTGGCCCAATACTGCCCCCTGGTGCCTGCTCTGCGCCATTGTCAAAGATAAACTGATATACTGGTATGGATTCAACCTTTTTCCTGCAGATCGTGTTTTGTGTTTTGTATTTTGTGTGGACTCAGAGGAGGACGTTCCCTCGCGGCTAATTCCTGTCCTGCATCTATAGCCTGTCCGCTTCTGGGAGAGAATCCCTCTCTCAATAAAGGCCTCTCAGAGGTGTCTCACTTTTACAAATTAAAGGAATTACAAAGTTAGTAAATTATGTGTGGTTTGAAATTTACGCACCCCAGCATTAATAACGGCTCTTTCTTACAAGTTTGCAAAATAACTGACAGGTCAATCCTTATGTGGATATCTTGAAAATTACACAATATAATAATCAGGACCACAGAGAGCTCTAAACCTCAGATTCAAGCACAAAATGGTGAGTTTGACACAAACGGTTACTAGAGGTGTCTACTTGTTAGGATTAGATAGCTATTTGGCCTACGTGCAGGACAAGCACAAGACTGTACAAGGACTCTGATGCATCCATGTTTTGACTATGATATACTCGTGACTGTCTCTGGACTGGACACTTATGTCTTTCGATGTGCGACGTAACAATGACTATATAAACTGTGTACTGCCTTTATTCTGTCTGAATGAAAAAAAAAAGTCTTCTGTTCTGTAGATGTTACAAACAATGCCAACATCCTTCCACCACCTGAAGAAGATGACAAGGTCTGTAACATCTACAGAACAGAAGACTTTTTTTTTTCTTTTTCTTTTTTTTTCATTCAGACAGAATAAAGGCAGTACACAGTTTATATAGTCGTTGTTACGTCACACATCGAAAGACGTACGTGTCAAATCCAGAGACATTCACGAGTACATCATAGTCAAAACATGGTCCATCCTTGTAGTCTTGTGCTTGTCCTGCACGTAGGCCATATAGCTATCTAATCCTAACACACTTTTACACGTATGTCAATATAGGAGCCACACTTCACCATGAGCACTTCCCTATTGGTCTTTTTTGAGCTAGCGGGTTAGCATTGTCAATCTGTATATGTCTCTGGTTCAAACAGTGATAAGGGCCCTTTGATATTAAATCAAATCACTAATCCAAGGGGCTCAGTAGACGTATACTACATCTTTCCCTTTCTTCACGATTGCACCACTTCCTGTTGCTCATATTGACAATGTGTGTTATTTCTGAAGCTGACAGAGCGGGACCTGTTTCTGAACAGGTTTGGACTCCTCCTGGACCTGTCTTTGACAAAGCAAACACACCAAACTCCGCCTCTCGATTACTGCTTTTATATCATTAGAGCAAGACAGGAAGACAGAGGAGACAGAGGAGAGACAGAGGAGAGACAGAAGAGACAGAGAGGAGATAGAGGTGGTACAGAGGAGACAGAGAGGAGACAGAAGAGAGACAGAGAGGAGACAGAGGAGAGACAGAGAGGAGACAGAGAGGAGACAGAGAGGAGACAGAGGTGGTACAGAGGAGACAGAGAGGAGACAGAAGAGAGACAGAGAGGAGACAGAGGAGAGACAGAGAGGAGACAGAGAGGAGACAGAGAGGAGACAGAGGTGGTACAGAGGAGACAGAGGTGGTACAGAGGAGACAGAGGAGAGACAGAGGAGACAGAGGAGAGACAGAGGAGAGACAGAAGAGAGACAGAGGGGAGACGGAGGTGACAGAGGAAAGACAGAGGGGAGACAGAGGAGACAGAGGAGACAGAGAGGAGACAGAAGAAAGACAGAGAGGAGACAGAGGAGAGACAGAGGGGAGACAGAAGAGAGACAGAGGGGATACAGAGAAGAGACATAGAGGAGACAGGAGAGACAGAGAGGAGACAGAGGGGATACAGAGGAGACAGAGAGGAGACAGAGAGGAGACAGAGAGGATACAGGGGAGACAGAGAGGAGACAGAGGGGATACAGGGGAGACAGAGAGGAGACAGAGGAGAGACAGAGAGGAGACAGAGGAGACAGAGGAGAGACAGAGAGGAAACAGAGGAGAGACAGAGGGGATACAGAGGAGAGACATAGAGGAGACAGGAGAGACAGGAGAGACAGGGGAGACAGAGAGGAGACAGAGGGGATACAGAGGAGACAGAGAGGAGACAGAGGAGAGACAGAGAGGAGACAGAGGAGAGACATAGAGGAGACAGGAGAGACAGGGGAGACCGAGGAGACAGAGAGACAGAGGGGATACAGAGGAGAGACAGAGGAGCGACAGAGAGGAGACAGAGGAGAGACAGAAGAAAGACAGAGGGGATACAGAGAAGAGACATAGAGGAGACAGGAGAGACAGGGGAGACAGAGAGGAGACAGAGGGGATACAGGGGAGACAGAAAGGAGACAGAGGAGAGACAGAGAGGAAACAGAGGAGAGACATAGAGGAGACAGGAGAGACAGGGGAGACCGAGGAGACAGAGAGGAGACAGAGGAGAGACAGAGGAGAGACAGAGGGGAGACAGAGGGGAGACAGAGGAGAGACAGAGAGGAGACAGAGGAGAGACAGAGGAGAGACAGAAGAAAGACAGAAGAGAGACAGAGAGGAGACAGAGGAGAGACAGAAGAACGAGAGGAGAGACAGAGGAGAGACAGAAGAAAGACAGAGGAGAGACAGAGGAGAGACAGAGGGGAGACAGAGGGGAGACAGAGGTGGTACAGAGGAGACAGAGAGGAGACAGAAGAGAGACAGAGGAGAGACAGAGAGGAGACCAAGAATACAGAGGAGAGACAGAGGAGAGACAGAGAGGAGACAGAGGTGGTACAGAGGAGACAGAGAGAGAGACAGAGGAGAGACAGAGGAGAGACAGAGAGGAGACCAAGAATACAGAGAGAAGACGCACCATAATGAAACATGGACAGTAATGAGTAGTAATGAATGTGTAAGCAGTAGTATAGCCTGTGTATTAGGACTGCACTGACGGTGTGTGACATCACCACAGTGTGACCCTTAATGCAGATGACGCTGATAAAGCTAGGAGCCCATTTTGTTATCTGGGCATTTGTTCCGAGAGTGTTAGCCAAAAGGAGAGATGCATTGTACCAGGTTGTAGCAGCAGTGCTAATTTACAGTAAAAAAAAAAGTAGATAGATACATTATCAGACAGCAATTAATTTACGTTATAATAAAACTACCCAGCCCCATTCTTCACATTCTCTAAATGCATACATTTCTATATTGAACTCACACACACACACACACACACACACACACACATGCACACACACATGCACACACACATGCAGACATAAGTATTCATACATCATGTTTCTAAGCGCATAAAAGCCTTGCGAACATTTGTAATGATGCTGAATGCTCACACATGGCCTTAACAATTAGAACAGTATATGTTAATTTATGCGTTTATTGTTGTGGGTATTTTCCCTCGCGTCACACAGAGATGGGAGCGCATTCGCCTGTTGCACATGTGTATACAGACACAGGGAGAACATGCAGACTCCAAACGGAAAGGAGTGGAGTTTCTTTTTATGATTATTGACCTTTATTTAATCAGAAATAACCAAAATACATACTGGGAGAACATGCAAATTGAACTCTCGACCTTCTTGCTGTGAAGCACAATCAAAACAGGAGCCAAACAAAAACTTTAACTGTAGCCCTGTTTCCACCTTCTTTACTCTACTTCAACCTACCCTCAACAAACCTCTATCCGGAGAATTTCCTTGGTAACCGTGCAGAGGCGTTCCAAGGGTACCCCAGGGCCCCAGGCAACAGAGTCCTTGGGGGCCCCGATACCGACCACATAACCACATAAAAAGGTTTATATTACAGTAGGTATAAATATATATTTAATAATAAGGTAAAATGCAATATCTATTACTTGTTTACAATAACATAAATTAAATGTAAATAATGTCTTATTTTGAACAATAAATTAATAGGCCTGGGGCCTGCCTGGCATACTGTACAGTCTACCATAGAAAATTGTGAATACTTCAGTACTTATCGTGACACAAAGCAATGAGAAATAATTTAGCATGTCTTTTTATAAGCTTGTTCACTACAATCATCATTACAATCATCATTATAAGTAATTACAAAAACTACCTATCAAAGTGTATGAATCCTACAAAATCTAATCTTTCATTTAGCCCTCAGTGTTTATAAAGTCTAAATTAAAGATTAGGCTCTTAGCTTTAATCTGCAAAAAACTGCTTGTTTTTACCTTCTACCATTCTCGAGCAGTCTGTCATTTAATATAATATATTAAATCCAAAATACTGCTCCGACTGGGATTAGAACCCAGGCCACCATATTATGAGCACTGCACCTTCACCACTAGACCACCAGTTTTTCCCATGGCAGAATTTCGCCAGAAAGGAATTTAAAGAAGGTGGCAAGTTCAGACAAAAAGTTTTAACCGCCAACTCATCACTGCAGGTAGCTGTAGTCAGTAAAAATTGACCGCTTGTGTCAAATCAGTCGGCCCTCGGGGGCCCCCTGCCAGTTTGGGGGCCCCAGGCAGCTGCCTGCCTTGCCTGTTGGCACCGGCCGCCTCTGTAACCGTGGCTTCCAGCAGCACTCTGGCCTTGGAAGAACTTGGTTAAATAGGGCCAGTGGAAACACTCCCAACCAGGAGAAAGTAGAGTAATAGTCTGTGGTGGAACACTCACACTGTCGCTGAACCGTCAGACAAAACCAAAACACCACAAACACGTTTTGCAGGTTTGAAAAACGCTTTCCCTCTCGGATCCTTGTGTTAGTCAAAGCTGGTTTTAGTTACTGGTTTTAGAGAAAGTGTGTTACCATGGCAATCCTTCATGACACCATAAACCAGAGGTGTCCAAACTGGTCCAGAAAGGGTCGCTGTGGCCGCAGGTTTTCTATCAGACCCAGCAGGAGCAGCGCAGACTCCGCCCATTTCCTCAAGTGATTTCAGGCTTAACCTGAAGATTTGATGAAATGGTCGGAGTCTGCTCTGCTCCTGCTGGGTCTGATAGAAAACCTGCAGCCAGCGGCCCTTTCTGGACCGGTTTGGACACCTCTGCCATAAACACATAAAAAACGGTCATAAAAATTACTCCATGAATGATTTATGTTGATAAACAAGGAAGCCGCTCCACAGAAGAACAAGTATAACTCAGGTACAAGAAACCTGCAGAAGAAATGTTACTCTAAATACAAAAAAAAAAAACTATATTGTGTTGATATAAAATGTACAAGTAGATAAGTTTGTAGCATCAACTGACTATTTGGAAAAATAGCAGCGACAAGAAGAGAAAAAGAGTGACAAAAAAACAGAACTATATTTTGACTTTGTTATCAACGTTCAGAATAAAACGTGAAAATGTTAAGGAAAATACAAGAACGTAATATAATAATGCGGAGGTTAGAAAGTGGAGGAATGTGGACAGAGAGAAAGAGTCAACACATGTGACATTTACTCAGCGAGAACAAAAGAATTCTACAGAAATGTTTTTATGTTACTCAGATACAGAATGAATGAAAAAAAAATCTCTGGTTTCTTTCTCTCTCTGGTCTCTCTATTTTTTCCATATTCTACTTAAATGATTCCACATTTGTCGTTAAAACACTGCTTTATATTTCTTATCTAAATTTTAATTCAGAGAGCTTTAAACTCAACTGCGTCTCTCTCTGGTCTCCCTCTCTATGAACTCTCTCTCTGGTCTCTCTCTCTGGTCCCTCTCTATGAACTCTCTCTGTGGTCTATCTCTGGTCTCTCTCTCTGATCTCTCTCTATGAACTCTCTCTGGCCTGTCTAACTGGTCTCTCTCTATGAACTCTCTCTCTGGTCTATCTCTGGTCTCTCTCTGGACCCTCTCTATGAACTCTCTCTCTGGCCTGTCTAACTGGCCTCTCTCTCTGGTCTCTCTCTTGAACTCTCTCTCTGGTGTATCTCTGGTCTCTTTCTCGGGTCTCTCCTACACACAGGGGCTCTGTAGCTCCATGTGACCCAGAGAACAGGTGCCTCACAGCTGCAGGGGCCTGTGGCAGTTGGAGGTTTCTCGTATTTGTTCATCTGCACAAAGACTTCTATTGTTTAAAGCACAAGGCCACAGCTCGCTCTACATAATCCTGCAGACATGGGCCACACTGGTCCTACTCACACTTGCAGATCTTTGCATATGCAAACCAGCAGCAATAGTGTAAACTGTATATGAGGAGTGTGACATCACCATAGTGTTTACTGATTGGTCAATCCTTTTATGGCTCATATCTGGATTTACAAGGAAAATATCACAATATAGACACCAGGATCACAGAGGGAAATGGGGAGTCTGACACAAACGGTTACTGAGCTAGAGAGTTTTCTATACCATGTAAGTCAATATGGGGGCAGGGAGCGTTTGAGCCAAACTTCACCATGAGCATTTCCCTTTTGGGCTCTATTGAACTAGCGGGTTAGCATTGAGCCGGTGTGTCCAAGATAAAACAGACTTACTTTCTTCTTCATGAGCGTGAACGAACAGGGCGGCTCTCGACAGGACGTCCAGTGGTGTTTCCATACTTTGACACCTGCACAAAACATTACACTTTAGAATCTAGCACCGTATCCTCACAACCTCCCCACAACCATCATGGGAAATTCCTTGGAAACCATGGCTTCAAGCAGCACTCTGGTCAGTTAAAATAATTTATTACCAGCTCAGCCTGGATAGACTTTGGGATCCCATGAACTCCACATAGAATCCCAAACAATACACTTATACTAATACAAGTACACATACACTTATACTAATACAAGTACACATACACCATACTGTTCCAAGCACACATAAACAACGTGTTTTTATGACTTTCTGGATGTTGTTTTGATCTTGTGTCTTTTTTCCCTCTTCACAGCAACTTATTATAGAACGACCACAACAAGAGCAGTTTCTACATCTGCGACATTCTCTCTGAGTGTCCAGCTTTAAAACCTCTGAAGCCCCATTTCCCCCAGCCCTGCCCTGGCCTACATTATTCTACATTACCCTACTCTACATTCCCTTAGCCTACCTCACTATACTCTACTGCACCATTATCCATAAGTTTAATGGCTTATTTGTTTGTTTATTTTCTTGTTTCGTTCAGCACTTTGAGCTGTCTTGAGTGTGAACTGTGCTACAATAAAACTTGCCATTTGCTGTGGTTCGAAAACTAGGTCCCCCAGCTTTAATCCGAGTCAGACTTGTGTTTTTACCCAGTAGCTGAAATCAAGGGCGTAGGTTTGCGTGGGGACCATGGGGACATGTCCCCACCAATATTTGGTGAGGACTAAAAAGTCCCCACCAAAATGACATGATGTCCCGTGACCCGGACGGTCCGGGACACATGTCTTCCGTTTGTGCACACGTCGCGCCTCCTCCTCGCCTCCAGAGCAACAGCAGCAGCAGCAGCACGTGACCCGTTCCTCTCTCTGCTGTGATTGGCTGTCTTCTTCAGCGCCAAACTGAAGCACTGAGCGACTGTTTAATTTTTAAAAGTTAGCCAGCGTGAAGCAAGTGTTTTTTTTCGTTCCCTGAGCGTTGTAGCACGTGAGTAATCAGAGGAAAGTACTGTAGATCTATTACCATTCAAAGTACTTACGTTATTTCTAATCTGTCAGCGCACTGTTTAATGTTCCGAGGAGCTCACACGGCACAGACACAGAACAGAACTGGCTCCAATAAAGAAACAGGTTGGTTGAAAGGCTGAGAAAATACTTATTGTGCTCTTACTATCCAAAATGTATAAGTGGGTGTGTTGTGTGAATCAGGATAAACTAGGGATGAAAATATTCCACGGATCCACGATTTACAACCCTTATCTGCTGATAATGTGATTTCTGTGAAATGTGTGACAGCGGGCACTTGCTGTTATTTGCTCTAAGCACATTCAAGCGATGAACTCGAATGTGCACGTCCTGGTGCAACTGCTGCCGCTTTGTAATGACAGCCGCGGCGCTCAGTGAAAGCACAGCTCTAACATGGCACCGAGCTCGGACCATATGCAGACAGAACCATGTTGCAAGTGCGGGTCTCCCTCGTATCTCCCCCGTTTCTCCCCTGTGTCTCTGACATGTCTCTCCCCTGACTCTTCCCAAAGCGCAACCAGCGCTCCCAAAATTAAAGCTCGGATACCTAAATTTTCCATTGCGTTAACGATGCATGCTGGTTGTGCGCAAAACACACCACAACAGGTCATTTAAGTTTTTATTTTGCATACTTAAGAGCCCTGTGAGTCATTACTTGCCTTTTTGGGTTGTGAGTGGAATAAATAAAAAAGAAAATATAGAAAAATCCACACTGTTACTTATTGCCAAACTCTTGTTAACTCATTGTATTGAGAAATACTATGTAACTTTTGACATTGGCCAAGTTATATAAATGATTCTGCAGTTCATGTATATGAATCTCTGTTTTTGATTGTCTATACCTTCTTATATAATTTAGAAAAAATGCCACCTCCACAAAAAAAGATAAAAGATATCAGGAGCTTTTTTAACAGTTGGAAAGTAAGTAAGAGAAAGCACAAGTAATAGCAAATTATGAATTGTGATGATTAATCTTCTGTTAACATACATAGGAAACTCAACCAACAAGAGAGAACAATATAGGGAATGTTGAGGTAGAAGCAACAGGCCCTTCAGTGCATCAGGTGAGGTTGGAATTTTGTAGGTATGCATGGGACTATGAATTGTTTTTAGAGATTGATCGTATATGTCAAACAATGTAGTGAGATACTCACTGTAGATTCTAATTCAATATTTTCTCCTCTGTTTTTATTTATTATAGGAAATTGAAAGATCAGAGCATGATTTATTTCAAGTATTGAGAGCACTTCCTGAACTGTTAGAGCCTCAGGTGAGGGCTATTATGTAGATTTGGATTAGGTTTAAGTCAGTATAGAATGAACGCAACACAAAACTCAGAAGCTCTGATCCAATTGATTTTGTTTTAACTATTAGAAAAAATCCTTAACTGCTTCTCATTCAGTCTACAGCTGAGTTTAGTATAGAAGGCAACACACTATTGCAAATATAGTGTGTGATTACACAACAAATTCTGGGGAGAAACTCTGGACCCCGTGTCAATGGGTGTAGACTCAGGTCGTAGTGAATGTCCCCACCAAGATTGGAACCAAACCTACACCATTGGCTGAAATGATCCCACAGCCACATTGTTGTTGTGGTTTTTTTCTTCTTCTCAGAACTATTCCAAACACGCACCACACTAATGACCTCCTCTCTGCTTGGACTCTGAAGCAGGAGCCGAGATTCTATAGGAACGGAATTGTGTGGATGAGAAGGCAGCGTGCTCTTCCCTCAGAGAACATTCCGCAGATTCCTTGTCCTCGTTTCTGGGGGGAAACACCAGATCCCACACAAAACCAGTTTGGTCAAATATTGTAGGAGTTTACAAGGGTTTGCAGCAGCGACGTTGGCTCCAGTGCATAAAGTGCAGAGTCGATAAGGGAGAGGGAAAGATTAGACCAACGGGACGAGGGCTTTAACACGTGAAATAAGAACAAGGATTTGGTCCAAATTAATAAACACAAAAGAAATGTTGAAGGTAATCTGTGATTTAGTGTTGGTCGGAGTCCTCCAAGGTTCCAGGCGTACAATCTCTGTTAATTTTACTTTCTAGAGGTTTAAAAATGTCTTCTAAACACTAGCTCCATATGGACCTACTGTATGGCTCATATGTGCTTGCCATTATTATCATATGTCTCTCTCTCTCTAGCCTCTCTTTGGCTGGTCTTTCTGGACATTTCTCATTAATCACAATCTCTGGACCGTGGCCGTCCCGCTCCGTATGGATCAATGGCTTCTATGTGTTATTATTGCATTTCCTGAGTTCGAACTGCTTGATTTTCTGATCTGTTGTTGTTGAATCCAAAACATTATAAATTCCTCTGATACGACTGCTGTTGGGATTTATGGCGTTACACAAATACATTGAATTGAATTGTACATATGTTTCTAAAGTCGCTTAATAGTGATAGAATTAACGTACGACACGTTTGAGAGCGTGCCATGCCGTATCCAAAGTAATTCTGTACTTTGATGCAAAGATCAGTTCTATATGAGAGTACCGGGTCAGAATCCAGAATTAATGATAAGATAGAAAGAAAAATCAACGCACATAAACAGCGACATAAAGTCAAGAACTAACTTTACGTCCACCTACCTCCGCCACTTTGGTATCTTCCAGTGTGCGCTCCTCGTAAACAAAAGCAGGAAGCAAGAGCGTAAATCCCATAAAAGTACTCCTGAGATCCTGAGGACAGAGAAGATAAGGGCCCAGGAACAGAGAGGTCCAGGGCCCAGGGAGAGCCAGGCCTGGTGCAGTCGTGGGTAAAGTTGAAGACAGGACTTGAAGAAACGCAGCTCTGGGAGGAGGAATGCTTGGAATGATGGAATTCGGTGCGTAGCAGGTGGTGAGAGAGGAGCGCGCTGATTGGCTGAGGCTGCGGCCCGTGATGTCATCCTGTATTATGGTAATAGGAGCATTGCATCACATCCTCTGGGGTGAGAGGGGAGGAGGCTCTGAGGCTCGTACAAAGGGCTGGCGCGGGTTTTTAAAGCAGTAGATAGACGATTTACACAAGCCCCGTCCCAATTCTCACCCTTGCCCTAGATTTTGCGCGTGCCCGCGGGGGTTGTAGGGTGTCCCAGTACTTAGGGGGAAGAGGCGAGGGCCCTCACACCCTTAAAATCCACCCACGTATTTATTAAAGTGCGGTGTTTTTAATGGTATTTCATATGAAGATTTGCTATAATTAGGTACAGGACTGCTCCATATCACGCACACACGTATACGCACAGAGACAGTAGTACATATACTAACTGCAATGTACTTAATATGATGAAAAGACGAAGGAACCAAACTTTTATCTCATAATATTTAGTTCAATTTCAATGTATTTGTGTCTTAAGCCAAATCACAACAGTGGTTGTCTCGGAGGACTTTACAAAGTTGTGGATTCCCCAACTAAAGAGAGGAGAATCCACACAGGAAATGCAATAACAACAAACACATAGGGGGAGGGATGACCACTGTCCAGAAATGTTGATTAATACTGCATGTGGAAACCCTCCTGCATCAGAGGAACCACTCCGAAACCCAAGACTGAGGCTGTAGATCCAGGACTGAGGCTGAGGGACCAGGACTGAGGCTGTAAATCATTGACTAAGGCAACTTTTTGCAGGTTTTTTAATATTCTATCCTGGAATCTGGACTCATCGGTATGTGTTAAAACAAAAGCTCAGTTTCAACAACATTCGACAAACACACATCTGTGTATCTCACTTTATTATAACGTCATAAAAATATAAATGTGTAAATACTAGGTTCATCTGAGATTTAAAAAGTAATGGATGTTGTGCCCTAGACAAGAATAGATCCAGTGTTGTAGATTTAAAGCTGAGGTAGGTGACTTCAGTCTCATAAATAACACATGTAGTTTGTCCAACAGAGCACAACATGCTGGCCTCATCTCATTAGAAACCATGTTATGTTTTGTGTAAGAAAGAGCCCTGTGAGTTACTATTTGACTCTTTGGGCTGAGAGCTGGTTGACTGAGGGAGGGTGGTCCTCTCTTTAGATCAGCTTTTTCAGACAGAAAAGTCATAAAGACGTGACAGTGGCCAGAAATACATAATGTGAGAGCTCAGCGAGAGGGATCAGAGAGAGAGACCAGAACAAGCTGATCTAAATGTGACAGAGGCCTAAAACACATGCAAGTGAGCCCAAGTGATAGAGGCAAACTGTTTTTACAGCACGGAACTAGTTAAATTGTGTTTGAAATCTAGGGCTTTAATTGGTACATGCATTTTGACAATTGGACTCCAGTCATCTAATAATCTTTCCCTTTCCATGGGTGCGAGCAGCAGTGAACCCTCCAATCTCTAGGATCGTAAGGTCAGCCTGTCCAGCCAAACAATCGTAACACGGGTTATTTAAATCTCCCGAGATACAGGTCATTAGCGGCGCTCCCTCCGGTTGTGGGACAGAAGCACTGGTGAACAGGAGTCTTCTCAGCTCTCAGGACGTTTGGGACACCGCTGGCTTCCTCCTCCAGCCTCTCCACATCTTCATCAGTTTCTTGGAGCTGTAGGAGACGGTCTTCCACACGCCTATGGACAAGGGACACAAGGACAGCAGCTGAACAATGGACGGAGGAAAAGCAGCCTCAGTCCTGGATCTACAGCCTCAGTCCTGGATCTACAGCCTCGGTCCTGGATCTACAGCCTCGGTCCTGGATCTACAGCCTCAGTCCTGGATCTACAGCCTCGGTCCTAGATCTACAGCCTCGGTCCTGGATTTACAACCTCGGTCCTGGATCTACAGCCTCGGTCCTGGATCTACAGCCTCGGTCCTGGATCTACAGCCTCAGTCCTGGATCTACAGCCTCGGTCCTAGATCTACAGCCTCGGTCCTGGATTTACAACCTCGGTCCTGGATCTACAGCCTCGGTCCTGGATCTACAGCCTCGGTCCTGGATCTACAGCCTCGGTCCTGGATCTACAGCCTCGGTCCTGGATCTACAGCCTCGGTCCTGGATCTACAGCCTCGGTCCTGGATCTACAGCCTCAGTCTTGGATCTACAGCCTCAGTCCTGGATCTACAGCCTCAGTCCTGGATCTACAGCCGCAGTCCTGGATCTACAGTCTCAGTTCTGGGTTTGTGAGTGGTCCCTCTCTGATGCAGGAGCGTCTAAAGACAGTGATGATTCGGGACATTTCTGCACATGTATGAACATTTCTGGACAGTGGTCATCCCGCTCCCGATGGATCGATGGCTCCTATGTGTTTGTTATTATTGCATTTCTGGTGTTTGAACTGTTTGAATCTCTGATCTATTATTGGTGAATCCACAACCGTATAAAGACCTCCGACAATCAATGGCTGTTGTGCTTTAGACGTTCTCACCTGCCGTAGCAATGCCTTTGATGCTCTGTGTGATGCTGGAGGACTTGACGATGGATGCGATTCCTGTCAGAAAACACAGTTACCTTTGTGTTCGTATGTCAGCCGCTGCTCATGCGCCTGACATGGAAATCAGATCATAATGAAAAACCAGAGAGAGACCAGAGAAAGACTAGGGAAAGAGAATAGAAAGAGAGCACATGCCAACTATTTGGAACAATAGCAGTAATAGTAAGATAAAATACAATGCAAGCTTGTCTTGCAAGAAAAACGTAGTAATAACAGATAATAAAGGATTATTAGAATATTCCATGTACGGCATCTTGGCCCTGGTCTGTCTGCGATGGCCCTGGTCTGTCTGCGATGGCCCTGGTCTGTCTGCGATGGCCCTGGTCTGTCTGCGATGGCCCTGGTCTGTCTGCCATGGCCCTGGTCTGTCTGCCATGGCCCTGGTCTGTCTGCCATGGCCCTGGTCTGTCTGCCATGGCCCTGGTCTGTCTGCCATGGTCCTGGTCTGTCTGCCATGGCCGTGGCCTTACCTTGTTGGACGACGGCCCCACAGTCCGGGTCTTGAGCCACCTGCAGCAGGATTTCCTCCACGTCGCGGTTCTTCCCTGGAGGATCCACCGACCGTGTGATTCTCTGCTGCAGAGTCCGTGGCAGAGCCATGAGTTGACTGAACTGACCCTCTGGACTCTTATCCACCTGCAGAACCACATCATAGCCTCAGTCCTGGGTTTTTTAGTGGTCCTTGCCGATGCAGGTCTAAGGACAGTGATGATCCGGGACATTTATATACATTTATAAATATTATTGGACAGCGGTTATCCCGTTTCATTTGGACCAATGGCTCCTAAGTGTTTGTTATTATTGCATTTCCTGTGTTCAAACTGTTGTTGGTGAATCCAAAACTCTCCAAAGTACCCCAAGGCGACTGCTGATGTGATTTAGGGCGAGACACAAATACATTGAATTGAAAGTGTTGGCCAGCACCTACAGACTTTTGGGGGTTAGCCGGGGTGTCTTAGTAAATACATAAGTCTATGAAATATATCTACATGGATTTCAGCATTCATTTGTAAAGCTCGTTATTTGATCCACCCCAACACCCTCTCCACCGACTCCCACTGATGACTGCTGTCGTTGTGTCCTTGGGCAAGACACTTAACCCCTAATTGCCCAAAGCCCCCGCTGAAAGATCAAGGCTATGCTCACACTTACGGAGCAGCCGTCCTCCTGTGGACTCACCACCTGCAGAGGGTCAGTGAGGGGCTGGTGCTATGAGACTTGGTTGGCATCTCTGACTGCCACCCCCCCGACCCAGAAATGGATTAAGGGGTAGATAATGGATGGATGGATGGATGGGTTATTTGATCTGTAACTAATTAACAAACCTCGAGTCTTCCTTGTTGAGGCTTGTACACAACTTGAGGACAGTCCTTTAAAATGTTGTTGTACAATATTTTGAAGTATTGTAAGTTGTCCTTCACAATATTGGAAACCTTCAATTTATCCTCTCCAATCACCATCCGGAAATCGCCTGCAAGGACAAAAACAAAAGTATAAGAGAGAGAGCAGAGAGACCAGAGAGACCATACAGAGACCAAAGAGAGAGACCAGAGAGTTACCACTGGACTCTGTTCACTAGGTCTAAAAGCAAGTTAAAAGCAGAAGTAGACCTTTCTTCTGACTTTAAAGCGTAACTAAACACCAAATCAACTTTTTAAACTCATAAACTGCATAGATATGTGTATTGTAGTGCTCTCTACATATCCTGGTCATTTTTTTTGACATTTTAGTGCAAATTAGATCAAATCTAATTTTTAAGCCAAAACACGTCTGTGTGGCGCCCTCTGAACCTTTTCGGTGGTACTACATTTGAATTTGGTCCTGGCCTCTCCATTGACTTTGTAATACTGTGTGACGTCAGTTTGTATGTGTGACGTCTGTCTGCGCCAGTGATATAGACCCATTCAACTCTCACACACGCCCAGTAGCAGGTTGGAGTGTTCTGCCAACATCTAGTGGATTAAAATTAAATTACATGAGTTGACTCCCACTGCTGCTGTGGATTAGGTTCAGGTGTGTAGCTCCACAATTATTTTAGTGTGTAAACAAGGGTCATGGAATGAGATGAGAGGCTGTGTAAACTATTGCTTTAAGCAGCAATGACAACTGTCTGTTTTTTTTTGTGTGTGACAAGTGAGCTGTCAATCACAGCCCAGACCACGCCCAACTCTAAGCCCCCCTTCTTGTCCCTTGGTCCGCCAGGCCAAGTTCATGTGGGCGTAGTAAGGCTGGGCACAGGTGTTTAGTCGCTCTTAAAATAAAGTTTTCATGTTACACTAGCGTTACACTCGTTATGGGTCTATGATATTGTTGGAGCACACACGCAAATAGAGCATGAGAACAAAAGCACAATTACACACAAAAATCTGTGAAACATCGAGATGGTGGAAGGTGAACGATGAGAGACATCTGTACTCTGAAGTTTGCTTTCTCACCAGAGTATGAAAGTCCAGCGATCTGCAGAAACAGCTCCTCCTCGCTGAAGCTCTCCGGCAGCATGAGGAAGGACGCGGTCACTGCACTTTTTAAATTCGCAACTAAAGCAGCTCTGAGTTTCCCATTGTCTCCTTGCACCAGCATCTTCACCTACAGACACACAAGCACACAAGCACGCACACACACACACACAAATACACAAGGCATAAACACAGCAGCAGAAGGCTATAGAGAGAATAGGCGATTTCCCACCGATGTGTCAACCTGGGGCAATAGTGGGAAAGATTGGCGTGTTGTTTGGACACCTGTTGGCTTGTCACCACAGAGAACATGTAAAAGTCACAGTGCAGAGACCCAAGACCAGAGAGAGATTAGAGAGAAACCAGAGAGAGACTAGAGAAAGACTAGAGAAAGATCAGACTCAGAGACCATAGAGTAAGGCCAGAGTGAGGCCAGAGAGAGACCAGAGAGAGACATACCAAAGAGAGTGACACCAGAGAGAGAGACCAGAGACTAGAGAGAGACCAGAGCGACTCCAGAGAGAGACCAGAGAGAGCTATAACTGTTTTATGGCAGTCTAAATTACAGATATATTTGGTCTGAGTATTTGACTTGCTTCATTTGGATACTCCAGCCAGTGTCACTGAGTGTGTCAGGAAGAGGTAGAATAACCTTTGTTTTTGCTCAACGGGAATGCGATCATAGAGATAAATGATGCAAGCGTGTAGTGACCAACCGGTTTGTGGAGCCTCCCAGCGACATACAGGGTGTTCCAGTGCAGTAGGTCCTGGATCAGTGAGTCAGTGCTGATGACCCCGTACTTTATCACCTATGAGAGAATCATAGAGAGAACAAAGAGACAGAGGCCAGAGAGAGACCAGAGAGAGACCAGAGTGAGAGAGGCCAGAGAGTCAGTGCTGATGAATCTATACTTTATCAGTGACAATGTGTGACAATTCAATAGTATTGCGATATTGGGGCCACAATAATTCAACAGGTAAATTTAAGACTGCTCATCTTCTCTTCAAGTGAGAGATTTTATACTTGTTCTTCGATGCTAGAGTTTGAGATTGTGCTTTGTGCTCCTCATTCCTACTGTTCTGTAACTTGTGATGCAACACTGAAACAATCCCACTGTGGGATGAATAAAGGATCTCTTAATCTTAACATTTATTTTGGTCTGCACATTTAATGAAGTGCAAAATCTTCATCCTTGAACATTCAGGACCTTATTACAGAATAAGAAATGTTTCTGAAAAAGATCACTATAATACTGTACTGTGCTGTACTGTGTCGTTTAAATTGTGTGCGCATAATACTGCAATACTGAACAGAATAATTTGTTATCCCACCACTACAGGTCAGTGAGGAGGTGGTTCTTAAACCAGAGAAACGAGTCGGTCGCTCACCTTGCCATCCACAGGGACCAGTGTGTTGTAGTAGACAGAGGCTCCGTGCTCGTCTTGGATGGTGCTAATCTTTGTGGGTCCCAGCAACTTCAGGATGGAGTAGTGTTTCCGGTTTTGGAGCAGGTTCAATGTGTGCCACGTCACCGGGTCGTCCACAGCAAACACAAAGTCCAACATGTTTTTCTGATGAGAAAGAAAGAAGTAATTGCGTTGAGGTTTATTCATTTTCAAACTAGCACATAATGTAGAGCAGTGTGTTTCAACCTATTTTGAGCCAAGGCACACTTATTTCATTGAAAATATCTTGTCATAGTCTGTAGTCCAGTGTTTTTCAACCACTGTGCCACGGCACACGATTATGCCGTATGATATTGTCCGGTGTGCCGTGAAAAATACTTTACAAATGTGTGTTCGCTGAGCTGTTGTCAAAGCGGCTGTCAGTACAAAGCGGCCACAGCTGCCCCGGGGACAGAGGGGAGGATGTGAATCCTGTTCAGAAATGGCATTATTCCTTTTCAAACACGTCGCAGTCACTTTCACTCCTCACTCGCAACAGTGCTCCTCGCTGCCTCTTACATTTGTTGGTCACGTCCAAATCTTACATTTCTCACCACAATGCTCCCAGCTACTTGTCAGGTGGTCGCATCCAATTCTTATGTATCAAAGTAATTAGCTTCTCGGCTGCCACCTACTGATATGAAAAAGTATTACGTGGTTACGCCACAGTTCAAAACAAGTCAGCAGTCGCCAATGGTGGATGCAGTTATTTTTAGACAAAGTAAGGGAATTTCTCATGGCACACCGGACAAATTAATACGGCACAGTGGTTGAAAAACACTGATGCAGAGCAGAGGTACCACACATGCAGCGGTTAAGGTGTTCTGAGGCCCCCTAGTGGACATCAGAGTGTAATGTCTGTGTGACATGTCATCCATCAGGGGTCAAGAACCTATGGGTCGGGAGCCAGATTTGGCTCTTTTAATTACTGTATCTGGCTCTCAGACAAATCTTAGTCAGCATTAATACTAAGAATATTTTATATATTGGATTTTTTCATTATAAACATGTATTACACAAAAAATACAATCAGAGACTAATATTGCACTCTAAATGTGTTGATTTTGTTTACAAAAATAATACATATTCACGGTAAAAAAAAAAAAAAAAAAAAATGGCACCCACAGAAATACATTTTGAAGTATGATACTTCTTTGGCTCTCTTGGCTAAAAAAGGTTCCCAACCTCTGTTACACATAATTTATCAAGAGAGACCAGAGAAACAACAGCAAGAGAGACCAATCAGATAGAGAGGGGAGCGGTAGACCAGAGGGAGACCAGTCCAAAAGACCAGAGTGGAAGACCAGACAGGGACCAGCCAGAGAGAGACCAGAGAGACAGAGACCAGAAAGAGATGGCGGGTTAATATTATATGTTATAATCTAAAGCTAATTTTATCAAGAAAACAACAACAGCATTTTTATGACCATATAAAATGAACCCTAGAATGAATAAGTAAGTTCAAAACAGCTGAACTCATTTTATTATTTGAAATATATTGAAAAAATATATAACTATACTTTCATTATCAATCACTGTATTGATACAAGACACAAGCTATGATTATACATTACCTAAACAAGTAGCTAATATCAACAAGGCACAATTATAATTCCATGTAATCTGTTATATAGACAGGATTGTAACACAATTCTTATCAGATATATTCTAACATAAATCAGGATTCTGTTTTGGTGTCTTATCTATCACTCCATTAACAAACCAGAGACTGTGGCTGAGAGCCTGAGACAGAAACCAGAGCAGGACCACACTCACGTCCATTTGCCCCTGGCTGGTCCCGTGCTGTCTGAACACTCCGGATCCATAGGCGAAGGCCAGACTGATGTCCTGAGGGAACTGGGCCAGGACCCGTCTGTAGAGGACCCCGGTGTTCTGAAGGACTGGAAGTGTCATCTCACATTAGCGCAGCTGTCAAAGCAGAGAAACTACCTCCTAGAAACCCTCCTTATGTTTAATAATGAACGACAAAATGTGTTAGGACACGGCTAACAGCAGACGGGCCCGACTGACACTGCTGCTCATTGTCATCTACATGTTTGTGTCTTTAGAATCGAGTTTTCGGTCAAACTCAGGTCAGACCATACATCCATGGGTCAGACGTGCGCTTCAGCGTCGCAGGCATTGTACGTCACGAGAGCGACCTAAAGGAGAAGCTCATGGGAAATGGAGTTTGTTAGATTGAAGCCAACAGATGATCAATAGTTGTTCATCACCACCAAGGAACAACTAAAAAAAACAGTAGGATGAAAGTGAGGCCTGTATTGACGGATCCACTCCCGGGACTGAGGCTGTAAAACGAGGACCAAGCGGTGAACTGTTCTACACAAATAAACTTGCCATGCCTGCACTATAGATCTACTGATGAATGTTACAGTCACTATATCTATATTAATGTCTAAAATAACGGCGTATTACACTAACCCGTCTTCTCTTGCACTGGTCATACAGAGGGACAAATGGTGGTTTGAATAAATCTATTTGAAACACGGGGACCTTTTTTTCATCGATTTGGCATGACGTCATATAAAAAAAAAAGAAATTCCCGTTTGTCCGCTTGGAGGCGACAAATCTTAACAAACGACTACAGTTGTCTCGTTATAGCTTCCTGAGAGTGGAGCGAACACAGACTTATAGGTATATAGCAGTACATAGACGTATACATTCAAACATAGACTTATAAAGTATATAGACTTATACAGCAGTACATACAGTAGTACATAGACTTATGCAGTAGTAGATAGACTTATGGTACATAGACTTATACTGTAGAACATAGTAGTAGTACAGACCCGGCCTAGATCAGGTGTTAATGCCCATTAAAGGCATACAACTTAATTTGTGCTACCATGGCATTTTCTACATTTTCTACATTTATTCTGTTCTCTTAATGGAACCCAACAGTTTATTAGTAATAATATGAAGTAGCGTTTAGCTAAATTAAATAAAAAGATAATCATGTGAAAACGCAGCCGGCCTTCCACAATCAGAAAAGAAAAGATCAGAGAAAAAGGTGGTCAGCAGGCGAGTACATCAGGCTCTCGTCTTTTCACAGAGAAACAGTGTGTGACCTTCCGGACTGTATCACTGACATCACAGTAGCAGAGTAATGTGCCTCTGTGAAAGTAATACTTATAAAGTAATTACCGGACTATACGCCAAGCTCATTGAACCTTGTGGCTTTTATTGCAATGCGGCTAATGTGTGTATATGTATTGTGGTAGAGTTGGGCAGAGTTTATAGACCTACTATTTTGACTCCATATTTTAGTACCTACAGGACACTAGTTTAGGGGCGACAGTAGCTCAGTTGGTAGAGCATTGGCCTTAAGCCCAGAAGGTCGTGGGTTCAATTCCCACCTCTGCACCTTCTCCACCGACTCCCACTGATGACTGCTGTCGTTGTGTCCTTGGGCAAGACACTTAACCCCACTTTGCCCAAAAGCCCCCACTGAAAGATCAAGGCTATGCTCACACTCAGAGAGCAGCTGTCCTCCTGTGGACTCACCACCTGCAGAGGGTCAGTGAGGGGCTGGTGCTATGAGACTTGGGTGGCATCTCTGACTGTCACCCCCCTGACCCAGAAATGGATTAAAGGGTAGAAAATGGATGGATGGAGGACACTAGTTTATTATATATAATACAGTGTTGGGCAAGTTACTTCAAAAACGTTGTACATTATGCATTACTTGTTACTGTTATTTCAAAGTAATGTATTAAACTACAATATTACTATCTCTGAATTGTAACGCATTACACTACTTTTGCATTCATTTTAACTTACTTTTGGTTTGGCACATCAAGTGCACTTAACTTAATTATGTTACACATCTTTGTCTCAAACTCAATCCTGTCCTGGCTCAGTTCTGGCTTAGAACTGGTTCATAGTAGTTTACACTTCATTGTTAAAGTTGATGGAAGCTGTTTTAAAACATCACCACTCTTTGCGCATATATTTTCCATGCACTCTTTGACAAGTGTCTTCCGAAGCCCCGGTGATCCAAGATGGCACCGTATTCAAATGAATGGTTTGTGCTCAGTGGTGCATGTGCAGGCACGGTCGCTGACATATTAGCGGAACTCCCCATATCACTCGCTATATTTGGGCATCGTCTGGTCCTCCCGGTTCTGTGCAGTGGATGATCTCCCATGATGAGTTGCGGCAAATACGCGTGTGAGGCTCTCATGCACGTTCACACCGGGGCTCGGCCGCGCTCTGACCAATCAGAACTGCTCATCAGAGCGGAGCTAGAGCAGGAGTTAGAGCGAGAGCCAGACGAGCAGAGTTTGTGGCACTAAAGTGTGGATTTAAAGAAAACCGAAGGATTTAAGAAGAAAAAAAGTTTAGGATGGCAAGGGACACTAAAATCCCCACAAAATCCACCCTTTATGAAAGCTGTAGGTTCTCTGTCAGCTGAGGTCGAGCAGTTTTAGTTTACATTGAGTTCTCTGAGGAAAATGTCTGGGTAGCCCACGTGAATTTAGTCTGCAGTACCACGAGAATCCCCTGAGCACGTGGGCCCTTCAGCTCCAAGCTAGTAATACCCTATCCAGTTATTTAAAATAGATCCATGATATTTGGGCATCGTCTGGTCCTCCCTGTTCTGCTCAGTGGACGGGCTCCCATGATGCGCTGCGCCAAATAAGTGTGTGTGGGCTCTCATGCACGTGCACAGAGGGGCTCGGCTGCGCTTTGACCAATCTGAGCTGCTGATCAGAGCAGCGGTAGAGAGGAGCCATAGCGGGAAGGAAACGAGCAGAGTTTGTGGCAGTAAAGTGTGGATTTAAAGAAGGTACAGCTGTTTTAGTTTACATTGAGTTCTATGGGATTTTTTTCTGGGTAGCCGCGTCAGAGCCCTGCACGGGCCTATTATCTGGACCTGAGCCCGGCCCTGGCCCGAGGGGGTGGCGCCCCAGCCCGACCCAGCCCGACATGATTTTTGAATTCTCAGGCCCAAAACCTGTATCAAGGCCGACTCCCCCCCCCCCCCTTCTCTCTGGAGCCAGTACAGGGGCCAAAACATAACAGAAATCTTGTGTTGTGTGCTCCTAATTTCATGGTTCTGTGTCATGTGATGCTGACATTTCCTGTGGGACGAGTACAGGCTCTCTTCATCTTCATCAACTGAAAGTGAAAGTATTTTAAGCTTTAAATGTTGTATTTTCATACACAAAAATTAACATAACAATATAGATTAGCCCTCACTAATTAACAGATAATTAGTGTACCCTAGAACTGTTAGAACGAAGTCCGAGCTAAAATAGAACTGTTCCAGTTAAACAGGAGGACGCACACACCTGCTGATGTCCTGTTGCGTGATGCAGGCTCAGGTTTTCTGGCACCGCTTTAGGTCAGAACTGGTTTTATCTCCATGGCGACTGGATGTTGTGAAACGTTTTTGAGTTTTTTTATCTTGTAAAAAAAATCACAGAATCAAAACAGTAAAAAGTATACAGTGCAGTATTTTGGCCGCAGCAAAAAAAAAAAAAAAGAGGATAACAGGACTTACTGAGCACTCCACAAATAGACTTCAGCTCACTGTGCAACAGTCCTCTGCTCACTCTACCACCAGACTCCAATTAACCCAGGAGAGAGAAAACCCTCTCTTTTAAAAATCTTAGCCCCGCGACTGGGCTAAAACATTCCAAATTGACAGGGACTAGGGAGACACAGGTAAATTGGGTACAGTTAACTTATTTCACAGACCTTATATGTGCCTCCCATTCCCATATATTCCCATACAAGGTGAAATACATTTCTGCAAACCACAACTACTAGTAGTTAGTACAACTACTATCAAAGTAGAAGCCAGCATTTCTGAAGGTAAAACACTTGTTCCTTTTATAAGGATAAAAAGTTGGAGAATAATAATCAACATTTGTCAATAACCCTGTGGACTGCCCTGCCCGACCCACCTGGGAGTTGCTTCAGTCCTGTACCGGACCTGTCCGCGTTCTGCGGCCGCTGAGTGGCCTTGGTCCTCGTTCTGTAGCTTAGGTCCTGGATCTACAGCCTGTCGGTCCGTGTGGAGCGGATCACTCTCTCAATGGGCCTCATTTATGAAACTTGCGTATACGGACAAATCAGAGAGTAAATGAGGCGTACGCAAAAAATTTACACTATTTGGCATTTATCAATTTGGACATGGGCGTACGGTACGCACAGAATATACAGTACGCCAAGTCAGTAGGTGGTGTAAATGTGTACGCTCATTTCAACCTTCATTACAACACGTCAAAACATGCATGAAATGCAAGATTTGGACAACTATGAACATATTCCCAGTCTGGCAAAATTACTGTATAAGCTGCGTTTTCATTGAGCATCACATTTCGAAATTTGAATTTGAGCATCAGAAAAACTCTAACAATGCAATCAGACCTCAAACGCTGAAGCCCCACTCACCAGACGCGCATTGTCTAGTTTTCAGACGCAGAGGACTTCACACCAGAACGTCCTGACGCGAGCCGGAAGTACCGGAAGTAGCCAGCCGGCTCTGATGCTAACAGAGCTACAGTATGCTAGCGGCTTCTTGTGTACAGATCTTCTCCAATATGCAGCTTTGCAGCGTGTCTTTGAACAGAGACTTTCCACAGGCTTTATATATCAGTAGTTCGTGTTCAAGGAGGTGCACCATACGTTTTTTAATATTATTCAACGGTATTTCCGCATCGGCGAACACACTCAAAGCAGTTGCATAAG